TATCTAAATTAAAAATTAAAATTTTAATAAAAATTTGTTTATATATAAAACATAATCGATAAATTATTTTATCAACAAAAAAACTCTTTAAGTGGAGTGAAAGCAATTTCCAAAGTATTTATATTTTTTTTTCGTATTCTTTTATTTTTAGGTACGTATAATTTTGCCTGGAAATTTTCTTTACAATAATGTGACAGAGCATTAAAAATTAAATATCTTTTATTTGAAAAATTTTGTGTTATCTAGCATTATTATAGAATTATATTTTAAAAAATGAAAAACTTTGAGTTAATTTCATCTCTTTTAGATGATACTATTTATTAAATAAAAAAATTGTTTTATATGTAACTAATTATTTGGATTATATCTGTATTAGATCATATTTTGATCAAAATTCACGAAATAAACTGAAATAATTAGAAATATTCTTAATAATAGTAATTAACATTATCATTAAAACATAATAAAGCATTTATCAATTAACAAACATTTGAAAAGATTTAATCTTGTACAAAATTTTCCTTCTCGATGATCAATGATCCATATGATCGTTCCATGTAAGCACTTTTGAAACGTAATATTTATTCTTATTTCAAATAAAAAAAAAAAAAAAAAAAAAAAGAAATGTTAGACTTGATTTAAAATTGGTTATCTAGTGTCAGTTAATTAGTAACCGGCAGAAATATCTGGTATGAAAAGCGTCGTTACATTATGTCATAATTCTATGAACTGTCTAGTTAAAACGTACAAACTGAGATACAACCGCTGAAAACATCGTATCCCAGCAAATCGACCGACTGTTATCTACTATCTCATTGTCAGCAACATGACAACGAAGATAAATAGCAGTATATATTTATTAACTAATTCTATACACTGATATGGATCTAATTTCTAAAACTTAAATGATTGTATTTTTTACAATCGAGATATAACGTTTTACCAATTGCATTCCAGCCTATATGCTGATTTTCCCGTTTGATTTCGCGCGCGTGATTCCATCACGCAACGCGCAGTCGCGATGGGTTGCAGAGCGTTGCGGCGCAGCGCGCTGGCCGGAACCGGTTTGTTCTACGAGTTGGCATCCGGTAGCATTAACTACCGTGCTTTTGGCTCGAACGCGGTTTACGTTCTTTTCTTTTTTCTTTTTTTTTTTTCTTTTTCTTCTCCAGTACACTTTTTCCAGACATGTTACAAACAGCGATAAAATTGACAGAGTGAAAATCGTCGATCGATGCAACGTGTATGGTTGAAAAATTCGAATTGAAACATCTTTAAGTCTAAGATTGGCGCAATCGTTCGCGTTTAAGGTTTAATGTAACTTGGACGAAGAAAATTTTTCAGTTCGGGAACCGCGAAAGAGAAAGCGTTGAGAAATTTTATCGGATCGACGTGTCGCAAGATAGAGTTGTTTGGCAAAAAGTCAAGCCGTCGTGGTTTCGTGACGCTGCTTTTCGCGGGAAGAGAAGGCAAGCCATTCGAAACGCCAGTATTATATTTTAGAATCGTAGTGGATTTATAAGAAAATGAATAGCAAGTGCAATTTTCTTTCTTTTCTTTCAGATTTCGTTATATATATAGCAGTTCAACTTTGATTAAAAACAGTGATTTCTACAGTAGTACGATTTGTTCTTTCACTACTGCTGCTACTACACGTTCTGTTTCTACTTCCGCTTCGATACGATAAACGAATGAGCAGTATATGCTAATTTTCACATGGCACAGTGAAATATTAGTTAACCCGTTTATATTTTTCAAGTCATTTTCGATCTAATTGTATTTTCTTATAATAATAAAAATTCCTCGAATTTGAACAGAAAATAAAAAAAGTTATTATTAATATTTTATGCTAAAATCTTTTTATTTGTTAAATCGAAAACGAGAGCACAAAAATTAGACCGTAGCGGGCTTAATCCATGAAAATTATTTATATATATCTATATATAATAATCTCTCACATAACCCTCGCGTGAAGATTAAATGTGCAGATTTCTTTGAAATTTATTTGATATATAAGTACCTAATACCTAATTTAGAGTTTGCATGATTTGATCGTTCGACTTGCAAAGGTGGAATACTTGAGGAAAAAGAGAGAGAGAAAGAGAGCGTAATAGCAGCAACGTAGGAAAGAGGAAATTATCGCCGCATCGACTGTGGCAATAGGGAAGTGTCGGTCGGGCGTCCCGAATATACTTGTAGTGGATATTTTCGATTCGAGCCGATTGCACAACTCTCTCTGCTTGGTTAGCACGCGCATGCTTCTCTGCGTACAGCGGTTATTCAACGACGACGTAAGTATACGTGCTTTGACTCGTCTTGTTTCTGCGTCGTAATTAACGTCTCTGTCTTTAATCGTCGGCTTCACGTGTTTAAATTACCGTCAACTATAAATTACGACTCGTTTGAACAACCTTGAATCGAAAGGTCTGCTCGATAGAAGCGAAGTTGCCAGGTATATTACGTGTAGTACACGTGTGCATCATTGTATCAAGGCTGAGTCGCGATTACCGACGGAAACAAGATTGCGATTGATATAAGCGGAAACTGTCGAAAGAGGTACGCGCAGCGCAGCGCCACTGTCAATTCGTAGAGATTTCGCTAAGTTTATGCGCGCGCAACGATGCGGTTAAAGGAAACGGTCGAACGCGGTCTCGAAACGGTTGGGAAGAATTGAGCAATGTGATCAATTTTTATCTTATTTGTTAAGTACACCATGGCTCATAAGTATTAAGACATCGATTGGTCTCGTATAAAAATGTGATTATTGATATGAATTACTGGAGAATAATCATAATAGATAATATAAATATAGAGATATAATATTTCAAAATATGCAATATACATTACATATGCAAAATACAGAATAAGATGTTTAAAAATAGAATTCTTAGAAATGATTTAAAAATAATCATTTATCATACTGGATTTAATTTATTTTTATAAATAATTTTAAATTTTTTATTTATGATAATTGCTTAGAAGTAGTGAAAATAATTAATTAATAGTTATGCATTAGCTTTTATAATTTATTGATTTATAATCCATTGAGAAAATCTACTAGATAAATTAGATAGAATCTCGTAGGTAATCTGAAGATTTGAATTTAATTTATTAAATTATAATATAATATGCACATATGGATGAATAATAAGAAATAAAATCTAATGTAAATTCTAAAAATTCGTTTAAAAATATATTAAAAAACGTGAAAAGTATTTATATTTAATTTTATTATACATAATTAATAAAAATTTTATAATTAATATCAGTTTTAAATCGATTTTTTGTAATATAAACTTCTAAAAAAAATAAATGTTAAAGATGAATCTTCATGTTTGCTTAATTCTTTTATTTAAAAGAATTTTTATTTTAAATGTTATAATATGAATAAAAGTATATATTATTCGCGCAAATTTAAATTTAATTAAATTATTATATCAACTTATTAAGTACCATACTTTATTAGCATTTATATTATTAGGAAAAAAAATTTGTATTGTTTTCTTTTTCCTCTTCTTTTCTTTCTTTCTCTTCTTTTTTATTTTTACTTTCTTTTTTGATTCATTTTTATACTGCTTGGGATTGTTTCTTGATTCATAATAATAATATGAAAATACATCACGTCATAGATTTGAACGAATCAATCGAAAAATATTTTGACGCTAAACATTTTGTTCATCGAGCTGAGCTATGCTCGTTTCGACTTGTTATCTCTTCGTCTACTAGTCTCGGAAGCCACAAAACTGTATAGAGGGATAATCCATAGGTTCGAGTTGCCAACGTTTCCTTGTTCAGTTTATTTCGTTCGCGGTTAACGGTTATGCGCCAGTGTCTCGATAAGCTAGGTGACACGCACACTTTTATCAAATGGTGAAACCGCGTTTGATCCACGTGTCCAGAAACGGGCTTTCGTGTCGCTACTTACGACACTGTGCAACGTGATCTCCGAGAACCGCACGCGAGCGGTTCGTTTTCTTTTCCTTCAGCTTTGCGATATAATATCCCCCGGCTCGTAACTTCACGCGCGCGTCTAGCGTTACCGCGCGTGGATGCACGCCCATACACGCTCATACGTGAAAGATACCACGGATCATTCGATCGATCCTTCGACCACCATGATTTCACATGGCCCAACCTTTTTTATGTGGCCGAGTAAAACTTTGGTAACCGATTTATCGATATTTTTCGAGACTTTTTCTCTATTAAATTTTCTAACGATGATTATTATTAATTACTATTCTTTGATTATTAATTATAAACGATCGATATAGCGTTTTATACGTCAGGTTTTTTTTAGATATTATAGAATTTAGAAATGTTATAAAATTTTGTATACGAACAATTTAATGTTGAGATTCTTGTATTCGTAGTTGAATTATTATCATTGAAACTTTAACATACGTCGATATTTTTTCTTTTTTTGAGATTTTTCTTTTTATTGATTATTATTAATTAGCATCTTAGATAATATTGATAATGTCATTAATGATCGATGTTTTATGCACTCTAGATTTTTAAGGAATATTATTATAGAACTTATAAATATTATGAAATCTTGCTATTCGCATATAAATAATTTAACGCTGAGCTCGAGATGTATGAATTGTAGCTGAATCATTATTATTCAAATTGTTATGACAAATATATTGTGAGACACTTGTGAAAGAAAAAGAAACAATAACACGAAGAAATCAAGAGGATGTCTTGATTATGATACAATAAATTATGGTACAATAAATTTCAATTCGGGAACTCAGTGTCATTTCTTCCTCGTTCTTATCTCAATCATTTATATATGATACACATTCGGAATTAATTTATGCATTAGCTCAAAAATAACGTAAAACAGAGATAACTAGTGAACTTTTGTTATCGAAACTAGATTCGTTTATCGAGATTTACGATTGCCATGGCGGAATGTATAACAATTGACCGATTGAAAATTGAGATTAGAGCGTAATACGATTTTAATCGGAACACCAACCTTTTCTCTGTTTCAGGATACATGAACTGCAATGCCAGCACGCTGCAATCGCTCACGCAACTACACGGTGAGTGAAAACTGTCAGTTCATTCCTTTTTCTTTCCTCTTGTCTAGTTCTTTTGTTCTTTTCGTCGTTTGGCAGTTTCTTGAATGTTTCGCGACACGATGATACTTAGAGTGTGGCGTGGCATGACGCGAGTTGGCACGCCACATCACAGGAAGATTCCTTGAGAGAGAGAGAGAGAGAAAGACTAGAGCCGTTGGTACGCTCAATTAAAATTTGCGCTTGCGCAACGTCTTTGCAACAGGCTTGTACACTTTTTCTGACGGTAATCAAGGAAATGCGCCCTTCCCTCGCGACACTTGTTTCCTCTTTCTTCGTCGCAATTGGTGGAAAAGGACTAGATCAAAACATATACTTTGAATCCATTCGCCTCCTCCTCGATATAATCTTGTACGCGCATAATCTTGTTCCGCTTTTTCTTCCTTTCCCCGCCTCATTTCCTCGGCTGGCTTCACTGGGTTTATTTTAAGGATATGAGAATTACGAGCTTAATTTAAATATTGGAATTAGAAGATTTTGTTACTAAATTGTAAGAGAAAAAAGTAATTGAAGTGAAGATAGGGATATGAAATAGAGTAGAAATATGAGATATCAAGGTTTTAATTTGTAGAATATTGATATATTTGTGAAATATTTTTAAATACAGTAAATTCTAGAAACTAAAAGAAACATAAAAGTTGTACAAAAATATCAGTCGAAGCTTATGTATTGAGTTATAAAAAATTTAAGTTTTAAATTTAAATTGATAAAGTTAAGTGTAGTGTAATTACAGATAGAATTGTCTTATTCTATCTTCATTTATAACTTAATAAATAAGTAACATTTTTATATATTAATTTTATGTTTGTTTGAATTTCTAGAATGAATTTTTAGAATCTTTCAAAGATATTTCACAAATTATATTAACATATAATAATAAAATTTTTAATATTATTAAATTTAAATGAGATAATAATCTTTCATTAGCTATTGTGTTTCATTAATATTTTTTTATTCAATGGATATTTCTTATTTTCATCATAGAATATGCAGATTATGTAACAGGATATTTCAATGGGATATATTCTAATTTATTTTGTAATTTCTGAGGAACTAAAGAAAGATATTGTACAATAATCTTAATTTTAAAATATTAATATAAAATTAAATTATATTGTATTTTTGATTGTGAAATGGTAATGGTAATGAATAGTAAGAAAGGTATAGTAATAACATAGAATACTTGATATTTATTAACAAATAATGAAATGAAATTCAATTATTCGACGTGAAGAATAAACTGAAGAAAAACTCTAATGGATTTGGAATTTGGAATTGCGGATTATTCAATGCTTATCATATTTATTACACGTTTATTGTGATTATTAAAAATAATAATTATTAAAAAAAATTTATTTATACTTAATTTACATTTTTATCCAGTATTATAACTTATTTCTTTTAAAAATCTCATATTATTCCAAATTTTGTCCATAATTTAGAAAAAATAAAAAAGTTATTTGCAATATTTATATTTATATATATATATTTTTTATTAGAAATTTTTTAAAATTTTTTAAAGTTATTTATTCGATTTATTTATTTATATAAACCCTGACAGAAAGTATACGATTTTTAATTTATATCGAATATTTATTTTTGTCAAATTTTTGTGTCATATATATATGACACAAATCTATAAAATGTATTGTTTAATTTTTAGGCTTAGATAAAAAAATTATAAAAGCAATCTTTACTATTTTCTTCAAAATTCCGATCAATTGAATTTTTTTGTTTTAATTTTTTACGCATCATCTAATAAATTAATCCTTCTAAATTAAACTTTTCAGAAGAAAACTTGAGGTTTAAAATTATTGTATTTTAAAAGATGATCGAATTAAAAACTATCTCAGTATTTCTATCCTTTTTTTTTTATTTAATTTAATTTATGATTTAAAAAAAATGGAAAAAAATTTAAATCTTAAATAAATCCTAAATAAATAAATCCTAAATAAATAAATAAAATTCTAAATAAATAAATGAATTTCTATTTTACATTCTAAATAAACTCGAATATCTCAAAATCAAATTTTTCAATATTGTCTTTAACATCTAATTTAATAATAAAGTTGATTACAATATTAGCCACTTGAACCTTGCTTTACTGCTATCTCATCTGATTTTATGAATTTAAAACTATGTGTATTTTATCACAAAATTTAGAATCAGTTTGTTCTAGAATTTCTTTTTTTCAAGACAAATAAATAAAAAAGCGATATAACAAGCGCATCTTGCATCTGAAGAAGAAACAATCCAAAGAGAGTTGTGCTCTGATTCGTAAAACTCATCATAAAACTCATCATAAAACTATGAGTTAAAAAAAAAAAGCAGATTTTATACCGTTGTTGTAATCTTCTTCTCGTACGTTGATTTACCAAGCCAGGAAAGTTACGCGAGCATGCACAGAATCGGCCGCGTGACAGACACGCATCGAATCCTCCACTGATAGGACGAATTTCCAACGTGAAATCTCGATGCGCGAAGCGCGAGACGCGCACGCGAGAACCAATTTGTAACGGGTCATTTTCGAACGATCAAAATCGAACGCCTCATGACGCTTCTAAAAATCTAACATGGACGAAAAGCTAGATCTCGTGCTTATCTCGCCGATGAACGAGTGTTTTTTCCAACAATACACATTCGAGTTTCTAATTTTTACGAGCTACGAAAAAAACTATAAGTATGCATAGAAGGTCAAGGTAACCGCGTTACATATTAAACGATGCAGATACCGCAACTACACAGAACGTAACTACCGAAAACATTTTCAATAGAGACGGATATAAAACTTGAAATGATAATTTCAAAAACACGTACAATCTACAACCGTTAAATATTAACATTCATGCAATATTACGAATTACAACAAATTGTAAATCTTTAATCTAATATCGAATCATAAAATATTTCATCGAATATGTTAATAAAGTAAACCAAGCATGAAAAAGGTCGAATTTTAATGGATCTCGATAGAACCATCGCTGTTTTGTTATTTTTTTTTTTTTTTTTTCTAGTCCTCTTGCTTGCATAATGAAACGGAACAAGTTGGTCGGTTGTTACCTACCCATGGTAAGTCTACCGTGTAACCGGAAAAATACATTTCCCGTATATACAATCGGCCTTGGTGTGTTTCGTGAATTTATTACGGGGAAGCGTATCGTTGAACGGAGATATATATATTTTCCCGAAATATTTTTTCCCCCGTTTGTTTTCTAGGGAAAAAAAGAGGGGGAGAAGAAAATGGGAAAGGACAAATTTAAATTAAAAATTAACACAGATATTGACCGTTGTATCATATTCAAGGGAATAATGTATTCGACACTTGATATTTTCACTAGCGAAATGCTAGTTGTGATAATAAAACGCATCGAAGCCAAGGCGTAAGATTTTCCTTGTCCCACATTCCTAGCATCCTTGGCAAAGTTTTGCGTCGGTGACGTTCTTCGTTTGCAGGACAAACCTCTGCCTGTTTGTCTACATGTTTGCATGCTCGACCACGATACTTCTTTTATGCGATTTCTTTTTCTATAAATTTTATTACCGTTCAATGCTTGTCTTTGTGCGAAGAAATATAGCATTTGAAAAACGCGGCAAAATTCATGTTGCGTGTAAAGAGAGAAATAAAAGAGTCACAATAATGGAAGGGGCGTGTTTATTTGAAAATGCCTCGGGTCTAGGCTGGAAAGTAAGCGTTGGAAAATAATCTTTTTATTTCGTCGAGTCGAGCACAGTTTATTTTTGTGATTAATAATGATATTAAAACTTGTACACAATTGGTTTGCCGATAAATTTTAACGTTCAATTTTATTGATCGGTGAAATGATTGGATTATTGTAAAAGTTTTATTTTTTTATTCTATCGAAATATTTAATTACATTTTCATCGATCCAAAAAAAAAATATCGAAACGTATTCATTTTAAATCGTTCAACTAATAAATTCTATTATTAAAAATCGATGAAAATTCAAATGAAATTTTGTGATTATATGAAAAACAATGAGTTATACGAGACAGTTTTTTGTGAAATATTATTTTATGGGAACAATCAATTTTTAAAATTTCAATGCTTCTTTTCTTTAAAATATTTTCTTTACAATAGTTAAATATATAAAATATTTAATTTAGTATCACATCATTATAAAAAATGTACAAGTTGCATTAAAAAAAAAAAAAAAATTAGAGAATTTAATTTTCTCAAAAAGATTTTCTGTCAATATAACCTATTATATTTTACATCTATGAATAAGAATTTTTGAATTCACATACATAACTTTTCTTACAACATAATGCATAAAGATTTTTGTAATTAATTGTACATTTAAATTTTATTACTCGAATGATTTTTATAAAAATTAAATATGTCCAAATCTTTCTTTGTTTATAAATAAGAACAACAAAAAAGTATTATAATATTACAAATCTTTCTTTAAACATATAACTTATATTTTTTTAAATTATATTAGATATTGTTTAGGTAAACTGAATTTTTTCGATTCGACATTCTAAAGATTTTCTGATTATTCGATATTTATTTAATATCTGAGAATTGAAATAATTGCTATTTTTAAAATATATTTATACTTTAATATATTAACTATAAATAATCTATAAATAAATATATCCATAACTAAGTTATAATAATATTGGAAAATTGGTCAAAATTATGTATCATGTTGATAAAAAATAAGAATAACGTTTATTTATGCAGAAAGATTTTAAATGAACCTTTGAAAAAAAAAAGATTTAAAAAACATTAAAAAAGATATTTAACTACGAAAGAAAATTTTGAAAGATATTTCGTTCTTTCATCAAAATGGCAAGGTAAAATAAGACATTCGCTTAAAATTCGATTAAAATTATAAAATTTTTATTTTTTTATAAGTAAAAACTATTAATAGTTTAGAATAGTGCATATTATTAAAAATGTAATAATAATATGAATGTTATAAAAAAACCGAGAGATG